CAAGACCGGAAGGTATCGAGACCATGACAAGACCAAGACCAAGACCGGAAGGTATCGAGACCATGACAAGACCAAGACCAAGACAAAGTCGTTAAACTGCTGCCAGATGCCGCTTCGTTTACGGGTGTCAAGCATATTTATGTGTTTTGCTTTTGCACAGCCCTCCTCACCGCTGTCTACTGTCTCACTCACTTACTGTGAGGACAGATGCACGCTCCACTCTAGCTGAGCCACAGTGTGAGAACTGAGCAGCGAAAGGAAATTAAATGAGAAGGGATTATTTTACACATGGATTAGTAAAGTAATCTTTCAGTTTGTTGCTTTTTTTTAAATTCTTTGCATGGTTTCATTTGCATTGCCATTAAAATTGAGGCATGTGCAGAACATCAGTGTCTGATAGACATGTATCTACAGATGTTGACTGGCCCTCGGCACCAGCTGCTGCCCCCGCTGATGCTCACACATAGAGAACTGAATCTGATTGTACTGATCATGTGACAATCTGTCCGTCTGCAGCTCTCCGGGCAGATGGCGTCTCTCCATGTCTGATGTTTCAGGGACAGCGGCTCAGATGCTCACAAGTCGCTTTGTCTCTGCGTGTATCCTCACATGACTCAACGAATCCTGAAAAGCTCAGTGCTCCCACAGCCTTATCTGCTCTCATTGATGACATGTAAAAATTCAATTATAAAGGAACATCGAGGATAAAGGAGGAAAAAAGACGATTATATTGCAAAGTGGTTATATAACGACAGTAGGCAAGAAAAACACAAGATCGGACAGGAATTAGCAGCAGAGTTTTTACTGCGGCTGCCTTTTTCCCTTTAATTAGTCTCAAAAAACTTGAACGTTGTTTAATAGATATGACCTGCTTTTGGTGCCATCAGTGCAGAAAAAATGTGGTAGATTTGAACCGTAAAGAGAGACCCAGAGGGAGAAATAAGAGGCAAAGATACGTCAGGTAAAACACATGAAAATGTTTTTAAAAGTAAACTTTAGCATCAAATTAAAACACACAGGCTTCATACATTTATCATACTTCTACAGTTTAATTAGCTGCAGAATAAATATTCACAAACCTGTTTAGAAACCAAAGGAAATAATCAAACCAGTATGTTTGGAGCATAGGACCTCTACACATGGGGTTTGGAAAAGCAGAGTAAATATAGGGACCAATTTTCCATATTTGCAGGTGAATTTACCAGGAGAAACTCTTTTCGGAGATTTTCATTTTGACATTTGAATCCACACACCAGCACTGATATGGAGTCACAGGCAGGCAGCAGGTGTCAGAAAGTTGCTGAGCTGAAAAGAGATACAAGCTCAGCAACAGTAGACCTACAGCTACAGCACAATATGATTTTTTTGAGTCAAAACTCAAAGTGAT